TTTTTTTTTTTTTTGGTACCGGGGATCGAACTCAGGTCATTGAGCTTGCAAGTCAGGCGGCGGCGGAACCACTGAGCTTAATCCCTGGCCCCAACTGTTTGAGTCTTAACTATAGGGTAACTTCCCAGGAGTGAGATTGATCTGTCAGAGAACTAAGCTTCCAAGTCAGTACTGTTAACTTTCTCTCCAAGGGCCTGTGCCACCATACTCCTTTCCGGGGGTGTGTGTGTGACCGAGTGTGAAGGAAGGAAATTTGAATCACATTCTGTTAAAAACATGTTGTAGGGCTGGGGATTTAGTTCAGTGATTCTGCCGCCTGCCTCACAAGCGCAAGGTCCTGAGTTTGATCCCTGGTACCAAAAAAAAAAAAAAAACATGTTGTAAAACTGTTAGGTGTTGACACGAGATCAGCCATGATTATGCCACTGACTGCAGGCTGTGAGAGCAGACCCCTCCAGCCCAGAGTGTTTATAAAAGAACCATGTGTACGTGACTGCATGGTGCCTGTGTGACACACCTGAAATCTTTCTCTTGCAGATGCTTTGACGAGGCCACTTCACCACCAAGCTCCTGCCTGCCCCCATTCTCATGGAAATCCCCCTCCCCAGACTCAGCCTCCACCCCAAGTGGATTATGTTATCCCTCATCCTGTGCATGCTTTCCATTCTCAAATGACTTCTCATGCAACATCTCATCCTGTGGCAGCCCCACCCCCCACCCACTTGGCCAGCACAGCTGCGCCAATCCCTCAGCACCTTCCTCCTGCGCACCAGCCCATCTCACACCACATGCCGGCTGCGGCGCCACCCTCACAGAGACTGCACCCACACGAAGTCATGCAGAGGATCGAGGGCCAGAGGAGGAGGATGATGCAGCATCCAACGTACGCATCCTGTTTTCATAAAGTTATGCTTACTTTTCTCTCTCCATTGCTCATTAATTTGATGAACTTTTCAGTCCTCAGTTGATTAGGAAATTTTGTTTGTTTTTTGTGGGTCTTGCACATGCTAGGCAAGAGCTCTTCTCCAAGCTGTGTTCCCAGCCCAGAAATTATTATCGTTACTTTTTATTTTGGTTTTTTTTGAGATAGTCTTGCTATGTAGTTCAGACTTGCTGTGAACTGAGCCCAAGCTGGCCTTGAACTCTCGGTGATCCTGCTACCTCAGCCCCCATGCTGAGATTTCAGGCTTGTACCACCATGCCCTGCTGGAAATTATTTATTTATTTATTTATTTATTTAGTTACCAGGGATCAAACTCAGGACCCTGCGCTTTCAAGGCAGGTGGCGGCACCACTGAGCTAAATTCCCGGCCCTTGGAAATTAATTTTTTATACCTATAATCTTCTTGTCTAAATCTAAATTGTAGCTGTTGACAAAATAAGTTTATATAAAATTAATGAAATCAGACCACATTCAGCATATAACTCAATGATCATTTCTTTTAGCAAGCAAATCTTTTCTCCATTTCTTCATTATCTCATAGTAAAGATTGATGTTAAAAATGATCCTGAGGAACAAGATTTACTAAAGATTTGCAAAAAAGAAAAAGTTCAGGATCTAATTTACTTCTTTTTTTTTTTTTTGGTTTGCTTTTTGTTGTTGTTTCTTTGTTTCTTGAGACAGGGTCTCACTTCATAGTTCATTCTGGGTTTGAACTCAATATATAGCCCAGGCTGGCTTCAAATAGCATGATCCTCCTGCCTCATCCTCCTGAGTGCTGGGATTACAGTTGTGCACCACTATACCTGACAGGATCTAGTTTTCTAAATCCAGTTCAGCAAACTTTGTTGGGCTAATTCTGTGTGACTGTGTTTTCTAAGTCTTTCTTTGGAAAGAGGCTTCAGTGTTGTGTATGGCTGTTTTCACATAAGAACAGCTGAGTAGTTACAACAGTGACAGTGTTCTCTAAATAGCTAAAAAATTTATTCTTTGACCCTTTGATAAAATATTCATGAAATTCTTGATCTAATTCATGACATGGCATTTGTGTAAGTTCTTCCTTTAGTTCCATAGTTTAAAATTTTATGCAGGGCTGGGAATTTAGCTCAGTGGTTCAGGCACCTGCCTTGAAAGCAAAAGGTCCCGAGTTTGATCCCTGGTACCAAAACAATAAAATAGAATCTCTGGTCTTGCTCTCTCTCTGATAGGGTCTTGCTGTGTAGTTCAGCCTTGGTTTGAACTCACGGCAGTTCTCCTGCCTCAGCCTCCCAAGTTCTGGGATTACAGGCATGTGCCACCATGCGCGGCTTCCTGCCATTTTAATATCAACTTAGAAAGTTGCCAGTTGGTGCATGCTTGTAATCCCAGTGATTCCTGGAGGCTGGAACAAGAGGATTATAAGCTTTAGGGCAAACCTGGTGAATTTAATGAGACTCTGTCTCAAATTTTGGTTTTTTTTGGATCGAACTCGGGTCCTTGTGCTTGTGAAGCAGGTGGCAGAACCACTGAGCTAAATCCCCGGCCCTCAAATTTTTAAAAATGCTGAGGATGTAGATCAATGTTAGAACACTCACCTAGTGTGCACAACGCCCTAGTTCAATCTCTAGTACCAAAAGGGATAAAATAAAATAAAGAATATAAGTTGCCAACTTAGTCGGAGCCTCCAGTAGCTAGAGAATAGTTTGACTCATTAAATATAAAATTGACGAAGGTATTAGAAACCAGTGGAAGAGTTGTATCTGTGTCTGTGTGCTGGTCTCTCTACAGAGTGCTGGGCATTAAACTCTGGGGTTCTGCACTGAGCTGCATTCCCAGCCTATTTTATTTTGAGACATGGTCTCACTAAGTTGATTTTATTTCTACTCAGTTTTTATTCTAATTAAAGTAGTTAATGTTGAATTTGGCTTTTTCTTGGATATTTGAATTGGAGGCATTGGAATAAATGAGTAGTTAGAATGTGTGGAGGAGGTTATGGTCTTAATTTATTGTTAATTATTAAATAACTTTATATGCATAATTATAGCTTATTGGTAAGTTAATTTTAGAACTAATCTGTAGATGTTCATAATACTAACACTAGAGTTTTTTCTACATGAAGAAATAACCAATTATTCAATTATTTCCAGTGGTCTTTTTATGTTCTGTGTTTCCAGGCGGGCACATGAGCGCCCCCCACCCCACCCCCACAGGATGCACCCGAACTATGGTCATGGGCACCATATTCATGTGCCTCAGACTATGTCCTCACACCCTCGACAGGCTCCCGAGCGATCTGCCTGGTCAGTATCTTGCTTATTCCGAATCTGTGCTCAGCAGCATGTAGTAAAACTTCTGGGAATAGGTACTGTCAAGGAGGGTCATTGGAAAAGCAAATTCCTCAGCTTAGCTGTGAGGCATTGCCCCGAGGAAGTAGAATCCTGGAGAGGAAACCAGAGGGTCTTCAGTTCTGGGACAAGATCTACCTTAAGCAGGAACAGAGGGTTTTTGTTTAAGTTTTATTGTTTGTTGACAAACAGTAATTGCATTTATGTATTTATGGGATGGTGTGTGACAATTTTGGTACATGTATGCATTGTGGAATGATTAAAGCAGGCTAGTTAGTGTATCCATCACCTCAGATACTTGACATTCCTTTCTGGTAAGAAAGTTTAAAATCTTCTATTGATTGATTTGATTTTTTGTGAGAGTCTCCCTATGTAGTTCAGGCTGGTCTTGAATTCACTATGTAGCCTGGGCTAACCTTGAAGTGCTGCCTCAGCCTCCCAAGTGCTGGGACTAGAGGTGTGAAAATCTCTTAGCAATTTGGAAATATATATATAATACATCATTATTCACTATAGTCACCATTTTATGCAGTGGAACATCAGAATTTAGTCCTAATTTGCTCCACCACCTCCAAATTCTGCTCTTGACAAACCCAGCCTGTATTGTCCTAGGCTTAGGTTCTTGCCTAGAGAAATGGAAAAGCAGATTGGCATTAATTTTTTTCTGAACCCATTGTATGTTGGCGGTCATTGAGATCTTGGTGGACAGGGACTTTTGAGGCAGAATGTAAAATTAAGCCTTTCTACAATTTTGTTTACCCTTGCTTTATAAGGTACAGAAGAGTTTGCTATACTAATTATTTTTGATGCCAAGAGCCCAGAGATGATGACAGCAAACAAAAGCTCAGGAGCATCTGTGACATTCTGATAAACTAGAAAAATGAACCATTCTTTGTGCTCCTCGAGCAGAGCTGGGCTTGTAGATTGGAAGGGCCCCCAGGAGCTGTCAGTGTTTCCTGCCTCTGAGGTGTGACACCAAGGACAGGTGCTTTGCTGATCATGGTCACAAAACTAAGTTTTAAAATATTAGTAGAATCTTTTTGGCTCTATCATCTTTTTCTTAGCTTTATAAGTTAATGAACTTTGAATTACTTTTAAAAATGTAAATGTGTTCCCCAAGTTGTGTTGCTGTGAATGAGGCTGTGTGGGGTCAGAGTTAAACTCTTTCCTCCTTTGTCAGGGAGCTGGGCATCGAAGCTGGAGTGACCCCCGCCACCTACACACCTGGTGCCTTGCACCTGGGCCATTACCACGCGCCACCTCGGCTCCACCACCTACAGCTCGGAGCACTGCCTCTAATGGTAACGTGGAAAATGTCCAAGTAGTGACATGTTCTTCTAAAAGTAATCTTCCTTTTCTAAATAAAAAAAATTTTTTTTAATGTTTTAATGTATTATTATAGTTTTAATTGAATTTGAGAATAATTCTTTTTAGATGAAAATTGTACTATATAAGGTATTAAATATATTAAAATCTGTTTTTGATTTGTATTGTAAAATGTATTTTTAATGTATGAGATGATTAAAAAAAGATTTTTTTTCCCTTTATACCAAGATAACATGAATTCTCATCATTGGGACATGTGTTTTAGTTAATTTGCCATCAGCAGAAACCTCTGTTGCATTGCTATTTGTAATATAAGGTTAGCGAGGTGGTACTAGAGGAGAGTGGCTGTGTCCTGGGTAGTGGTGCTGCAGCGGTGTCAGGCGGCTTCATGGTGGGTCTGACAACTATGTGGGCTTCAGGCTGCAGCTGGATGCCCTCATAGAGGCCGAAGCCAGGGAGGAGCTTAGGAACTCCACATAAGCTGGTATCCCCAGGTCTCAGAGCAGGAGTAAGAAAGAGAGCTGCGGGCCAAGGGGATAGATAGCTCAGTGGTGGAGCACCAGCGTAGCATTTCTGAGACTTCAAATAGAACAAAAGGAAAGAAAGCAGCTGTGCCAAGAAACAAAACTCAGATACCACAGAAGGAAGATTATATCCTGATTATATTTATGCTTTTAGAGTGAAATGATGAGATTGTAAGTAGAAAGACTACACCTCCTCAGCTATGTAAAAAAGTAAATTTAATGGTAGGAAGAAGTAAACTGATCTGGACATTATAGAAGCAGAAAATCCCCAAACAAAACTAATGACAGTTGGCATAACATCAGTGGAACACACTTGCATAATATTTAGGATGACTCTCAGTTCTTTTTTTTTTTTTTTTTTTTTTAATGACTCTCAGTTCTAGCTTGGGTTAAAAGGTGTATACTAATACGACCTGGTATATTGGAGAATATTGGATGCTTTGGAAAAAGGGTTAGCTTGGTTTTGGACATAGTGACTCTGAGTTACTATGTTAGGTTGAATGTTTAGTAAGTGTATGATCTGGACCTCCAGAAATACCTGAATTAAAGATATACTTGTGGGCCGGAGATTTAGCTCAGTGGTTCTGCCACCTGCTTTGCAAGCATAAGGACCCAAGTTTGATCTCCGGCACGAAAAAAAGAAAAGAAAAAAAGATACACTTGTGATCTGGCAATACTATATACAGAAATGAATCAAAGAAAGAAGATTACATTTTGAGGAAAAACGTGTGACAGGAGAGTGTGAATGTAGAATGATAATGTAATATTTACAATATTTAAGGTAAATGTAGAATGATAATACAGATAAAAATATTGTATCCCAAACAAAGGATTCTGAGAACTGACTCAAAAAGTTGAGAAACAAAGTTAGAGTAAGGTCATAGAGTAATAATCATTGGGTCAGATGTGGTGCATGCTTCCTAGCACTTGTGAGGCTGAGGCAAGAGGATTGCTGCAAACTCAAGGCCAGACTGGGCTACATTGTGAGTTCAAGACCAGCTGTACCTACATAGTGAGGCTTTGTCTTAATAAACAACAACAACCACAGAGTAATGTTGGAGACTTTATTTATAAAGCTAGAATTCCAGTGCTCTTTCTCCTAATATCTCTTTTCCTAGTACAATGGACTTTGAATATCTCCTGCAGTTAACCTTCAGTGTAGTCACTGCAGAAACTGAGTTAGAAATCTAGAACCATTCCGCTTATGGGAAATACAGGGATAGAGTACTGCAAGCTTCTGGTCACAGTCACTGACCTGTATGTAACCTTGTTTTGTATGTGTTTCTCTTTAAAGACGACTCAAGTCTTTAAATATGGGTTGTTGGTTTGTTGACATTAAACGGACAGCCAACAGCAGTGTAACTCAGACCTGAACAGAATGGACATAATACACACTTTATCCACAGCACCCTCACAGTTAGCAACCTCGGTAGTACTTGAGCACTTCTTGGGTTCTTCTTGGGTTAGCAGCCTCAATAGTACTTGACCACTATGCTTGGCAGCCGTTCTAGACAATGGAATCATTAACTAAAAACACAAAAAACATGCTGTTAAATACACGGCAGGAAAGATTCTTGTTTCTGATATGAGCTGAAACAAGAAGGAAGACCTCGGGAGCTGCATGCTGGGCAGCACACCATTTTTGGCGACACAGCAATGTTCACAGTTGACTCAAAGCCCAGTGTCGATTTCGGGTTTTCAGCCTGTAGCCAGTTCCCAAATAATGAAGACTGACTGTACTTAACAAAAGTCAGGAAACATGGTTGAGATGGGTATGGTGGCACACACACCTGTAATCCCAGCTAAGAGACATGGGATGGGGAAGCTGAGGCAGGAGAATCACAAGTTCCAGGCCAGCCCATAATTAGGGAGACCTTGTCTCAAAAAATAAAAAGGCCGGAAGATTAAGTTCAGTGGTGGAGTGCCTCAGTACTAGGGGGAAAGAAAAAGCATTGTTGAATCAGACAGAGCCAAACACCGCCCCACCCCCACCCCAAGTAAGGTTCCTTTGGTTGTTAGCAGAGAACGGGACATAAAACTTGAAGTTGAATTTTGTGGGAAATTTTTATTTTACTTTTGCTGTTTCGTTTTTTCTTTTTTTCTTTTCTTTTTTTGGTACCGGGGATCGAACTCGGGTCCTTGCGCTTGCGCAGCAGGCAGCCAAACCACCACAAAATCCCCGGCCCTTGCTGTTTCGTTTTTTAAACCTTTATATTTTCTATTAGTACATATTTGTCACACATATTGATCACATTCCACATAGGGAATTTGTACCTGTACATAATACATCTTGATTCTTCTTTATTTTCTATTCCCCTTCCCTCCCTTCAACCGTTCTTCCCCTCCCTGTTTACAAAAGCTTCATTTCTATTTTTCCTTCTATTCCCCCCACTTTTTTTTCCCTCCCCTCCCTTGTTTCCCTTCCCATTTAAACATGTTCTTCCTAGTTCCCAATATCTATCCTCCATTATGTTCCTTGTTCACTCTTTGGGTTTCTCTCACAAGAGAAAGAATGCAGTATTTAAACTTGTGTGCCCAATTTATTTCATTTAAGATGATGGTCTTGAGTTGCATCCATTTTCCTACAGTTGATTGAAGTTTATCCTTTTTATGGCAGAGTAGTATTCCATTGCATATAAATACCACATTTTCTTTATCCATTCATGTGTTGATGGGGATATGGGCTGTTTCCAAGATTTAGCTATTATAAATTGTGCTGCTGTATACATAGGTATATAACTATAGTATGATGCTTTTAACTCTTTAGGGAAGATGCCTAGGATGGGAATACTTGAGTCAACCGGAACCCCTAGTTCTAGTCTTTTGAGGAATCTCCATTCTGATTTCCATAGTGGTTGTACCAGTTTACATTTCCACCAGCATTTGCTTTTTTTTGTTTGTTTTTGAGACAGTGTGTCACTATGTAGTTCAGGCTGACCTTGAACTCACTATGTAGCCCAGGCTGGCCTCCAACTTGTGATGATTGTCTGCCCGGGCCTCCTGAGTGCTAGGATTACAGACATGCGCTACCATGCCTGGCTTCACTAGCATTTGTTATTGATGAATTTCTTGATGATAACCATTCTTTCTAGAGTGAGGTGGAATCTCAGTGTTGTTTTCATTTGCATTTCTCAAATGACCGGTGCTGTTGAGCATTTTTTTCATTATTTATATGTTGTTTGTACTTCTTCATCTGAGAAATGTTTGTTCATTTCAGATGCTTGTTTTTTTGATTGGGCCTTTAAATTTGGGAAATTTAATATTATTTAACCAATCTTTTTTTTTTTGGTACCAGGGATTGAACTCAGGACCTCGAGCTTGCCAAGCAGGCGCTATGGCACTGAGCTAAATCCCCAGCCATAGAGCTTTCTAAAGTTGCCAAAATTTTCTTCCTTTGGATTTTGTCGTGACCCCCTCCCCCCTTCTTGTACTAGGGATTGAATACAGCTCTCACTGAGCCCTTTCCCCAGCCCTATATTTTAGAATAGGGGCTCACACTAAGTTGCCCAGGTTAAGGTTGAACTTGGGATCCTCCTACCCCCAGAGTGCTGGAATTACAGGCAGGCATTACTATCCTTGGCTTGACAAGATCTTAGGAAAATTCTACTGTGTTCAAGTTTATGCTACTAAAACTATCAAGCTTAAGTTTGGATATTTACTGCATAGATTTCTTTTCTTTCTTTTTTTTTTTTTTTTTTCGGTACCATGGATTGAACTCAGGTCCTTGTGCTTGCACAGCAGGTGGGAAACCACAGAGCTAAATCCCCAGGTGATTTCTTTTGTTTTTGTGTTTTGTGGGGTTTTTTTGTTTTTTTTTTTTTGAGGCAGGATCTCCTTTTATAGTTCAGGCTGGCCCTGAACTCCCAATGTAGGCCAGGCTGGCCTTGAACTTGGCAGTGATCCTCCTCAGTGCTGGGATTACAGGTGTGCACCACCACGCCCGGCTCATGCCACATAGATTTCTATCATCATCATCATCATCATCATCTCTTTCTTTTTTTTTTTTCTTTTGTGGTACCTGGGATCGAACTCAGGTCTTTGCGCTTGTGCAGCAGGTGGCAAAACCACTGAGCTAAATCCCCAGCCCTATCTCTTTTTTGAGATGGAGTCTTGGCTATGTTTCTTAGGTGGGCCTTGAACTTGTGGGCTCAAGGGATCCTCCTGTCTCAGCCTCCTGCATACCTGGGACTGTATGGCATGTGGCAGCATACCTGCTGTGTATAGAATTCTTTGTGTAATATAAATCAAGTAGAAGAGACTTGTCTCATGGGACCATTACTTTTTCTTATATTTCTTCTACTTTAAGCTATTTTACAAGTTCCAAATATAATCCTCCAGATTCTTGGGAGGATACCATATTTGAGGCCAGTTTAGGCAACTTAGCAAGATCCTCTCAAAATGATAATAAAAAGGATGAATGATGTAGGGCAGTGGTAGAGTGCTTGCTTAGCCTGCATTTAACTCCCAGCACTAGAAGGAAAAAAAAGATTTTAAGAGGAATCTAAACCTATTCTAGAATGTTTATTGGAATTAAGTATCCTTACTGAAGTTGAAATTTATGTATTGAATGAAAGGCATTGAGTATCTTGAATTATTCAATTTTAGTGGTAAAAACCAAGTCTATTTTTTACTGATTAGCTTATCCTCCTGTATTAAAATAGGTTCCTGACATGGCAGGCTATCCTCACATTCGTTATATTTCATCAGGCCTGGACGGAACATCATTCAGAGGTCCTTTTAGGGGCAATTTTGAGGTATGTAATGAAATAAGTGAAGATACTTGCCGTGGTCTCTTTACTGCAGAAGAGTATACATTCTGTACCATGGGTAGTTAGTTCTCCAGGAATGCTCAGAGGCTTGGTATCAGAAAGCAGTAAAATGTCTGCTTTCTAATACTGCTTCAAGTCGCTGGGGATTTAGCTCAGTGGCGTCGCGCCTGCCTCACAAGCTCAAGGTCCTAAGTTCAATCCCCAGTACCACACACAAAAAAATCATGGTCTACTCGAATACTGCTTCTGGGGTTTACAAAAGATTTATAAACAGTACTCATCTTAGAGTCAAAAGTTACCCAAGTATTTAAAAAAGAACTGATGAAAAATAAATAAATTTTAAAAAATAAACTGATGAAAATATCTGCAATAAAAGAATATATAAAATTATTAAATCAATATAAGTATCAGATGAAGAACTATGTCATCAAATGTAGGAAGAAAACCTAATGCTTTTGACCAAGCTTAATATTTAGAGAAATAACTGAGAAATATGTATAAGGCTAAGCAATTCACTTTATAATAAAATATCCTCATTTGAATTTTCAGGAAAATAAACCATTTGTATATTATTTAAAGTTTTGTTGCATTTCATCATGTCAATTTGAAAGTAGGAGTTGATGTGATTTAGAACTACTATTTGGGCAGGGAATGTAGCTCAGTGGTGCCGAGTGCCTGCCTGGCAAGCACAAAGTCCTGAGTTCGATCCCCCTCCCCAAAAATAGAACTGTTGTTTAATAATGGGATAATTTCATCTACTGCACTCAGAATGTAGAGACTTACATAGTACAGTGTGGTAGTACTGTTGTCCCAGTTTCTTTGGGTAACTCCAATATCACCTCAGTTCTCTGAAAAAAAAAATTATAAGAAACCATTTTCTTTATGATAACCTATGATATAAGAAAAATTCTTTAAACATTGATTTGTCTTCTCATGTATAAATACTTTTGTTTTTGAGACAGAGTCTAGCTGTGTACCTCAGCCTGGCCTTGAATTCACCATGTAGGCTAGGCTGGCCCTAAACTCATGGTGATCCTCCTATCTTAGCCTCTCCAGTGCTGGGATTACAGGCATGTGCCACCACATCTGGCTAAATATGTTTTTTGAACAAAGTATAATTATATAAATTTAGATGTTTCTGCTTTGAAAATATTGGTAATATTATTCTAGGACTAATTGGTATTCAAAATAGTGGCTTTATGTATTTTTAGTGCATATTAATTTTACAAAATAATAGGTTTCTTTGTGTCATTTTCATACATGCATGTATCATTTTGATCATATTCAACCACCTAGCTTTTTTCTTTTTTCTTTTGGTACCGGGGATCGAACTCAGGTCCCTCCCCTTGCGAGGCAGGCGGCGGAACCACTGAGCTAAATCCCTGGGCCTGGCTTTTAACACTAGTTCTTTACTTTTCAGGAACTAATTCATTTGGAGGAAAGATTAGGAAACGTCAATCGTGGAGCATCCCAGGGGACTATTGAAAGATGTACATATCCACATAAATACAAAAAGGTAAGGATTTATTCTTGGAATTTCTAGACTGTTTTTGAGATGCATAAAATGTAATATCATAGACTTTGAATTTATGAAGTCCATCAATGACATTATTTTTTGGGAGTTTTTTTTGTTTGTTTTTTTGATACCAGGGATCGAATTCAGGACCTTGCGCAGCAGGCACTGGAACCACTGAGCTAAATCCCTGGCCCAATGACATTATTTTTATTCAAGCAATATAAATATATCCTGAAAAATGTTGGAAACTATAAAAATGCATATTAGGAAATTTCTTACCCCATATACCCTAGTTTTATTTCCCAGAAGTGAAAGCATAAAGATTTCTTTCATATTTTTCTATACATTTCTGTGCATATTATAGTATACGTATGTATATAAGTATTCTCTTTTCCACTTCTAAAGACACTGAGGGGGATGATACACACAGTTGTGCATATTACTGTTTCATTGTCTGTCAGCATTCACAGGCAGATCACCTCTGGTCTTTTTAATAGTTTATACAGTACCATCATATGCCAGTACCATAGTTAGAACTGCTGTCCTTTGTAGTTTTTATGATTTTTTATGTGTATTAATATTCATCAGTAAAATAAAATTTTTAGGTATGTTTGGGATGGGGTGAAATAGAGTGTTTATATGGTGTTATAATTCTCATTTAGGTTAAAAGTAACTGACTTCAAACTAATGATTTTGTTTTTGATGCTGAATACTTAATTGAATACTTGATAATCACTTAGTTCATCCTTAAATTTGACAGTTTTACCTGGGAAATAAGTTGTATGTGAATGTATGGTTTTGCTTTGTTTTGTTTTTAAATAAATGCAGACTTTACTCAGTTGTTCAATGTCATCTCTGCTAATAAGGTAACAACTGATTGGTTCTCACAGAGGAAACTGCACTGCAAACAAGATGCAGAAGAAGCGACTGAGGAAGATACAGAGGAGAAATGTACGATCTGCTTGTCTATCTTAGAGGAAGGTGAAGATGTGAGGTAACTAAATACTAATCGTCCACAATCCATTCTCAGACTATAGGAATTTGGTTTGAAAGTAACTAGAAACCAAATATTGATTACTGCTGTCCTACCCTCTTAGCAACCTTTGCCTGGCTTCCTGTATTGAGTGAAAGAAAAAAAGGCGAAAGTCTCTGTATTAATAACAAAGGTGGAGGGAGTGGGAAATACATTACCTATTTTAGGATCATACCAGCAGTTGAAATTGTCTTCTGTAAATCTTGTAGAAATGAGAATTTTGAAGGCTTTGGAGACATAGGCAGTTAGAGTAAAATATTCTCCATAAAGAGAGATCAAAATGGGGTGTGGTGGTGCATTCCTGCAATCCCATAGTCTGGGAGGCTGAAGCAGGAGGATTGCAAACTCAAGCCCAGCTTGGACAGCTTAGTGAAATACTGTCTCAGAGGAAGAGAAGGAACAAGGTTTTGTGATCTAGAAAATGTTATTATGCTAATCTAGTATTTATAATTTGTAGACATTTTCTTTGTATAATCTCTTAAGTAGTTGTTTTCTTTTTTATGTGATGTAAAGCTATATGAAACATTTCTATGAAATATATAACAGAACTATATAGTAATTGCCATAATTAATAAGGAGACCTTTGGCATACCTGGTCAGCTGGCTAATAGAGAAAAAGATAATAAAGTGCTATCTACCATACCAAAGAATAAGGCTTTATGAACACTATTTCCAAGGAAGGTTTATACATATAAAATGCTTTTATAGTATTAATAAAATTGTTAACAGAGTAATTGGAATCCCTCTTTTTAGCTACCACCCTATTTTTAAAGTGTTAGGGAAAAAACAAATAATTGCCAGTGTCATTCTTGTGTTTATAATTGAGATTTTATATGATTTGTTTTCATACATGTAGACCATATTGCTCAGTGTGCTAACTTAATATATGTGTAACTCTCGTTAGAAGGTTCTTTTATTTTTTTTGTATCAGAACGTCACCTGGTAGGTCTTCAGAACACTACTAAATTATTACATGTGTAATTTGTTTAAAAATAAATGTGACATGCATTTGTCTTAAGATTATTTTTGCTGTTTGTTTTGATAATGACAGGCGCCTTCCATGTATGCACCTTTTCCACCAAGTGTGTGTTGACCAGTGGCTGATCACCAATAAGAAGTGCCCCATCTGCAGAGTGGACATTGAGGCTCAGCTGCCAAGTGAAAGTTGACACCATGTTTCCGAACTCTCGCCCTTCCTCTCGCCCCATCCTCTCTGGTACTGCAGTCAACCAAAGATGGCATGACCTACCTGCGCAGATTTGGAAGCATCAGATTAAGAGTGCTGGCTCTGCTATGTGGTACAACTAATGCTAGACCTACAATTTATGTATATGGTTGATTTTGATGTATTTATAAAAGCTTTTTTTCCCTAGATTTGACATTTCTTCCTGTATCATTTTACTGTATTTTTGCATGGTTCCTTGTATTGCATTTCTTTGCACATATTATGGGCTTGTGAGCCTAAACTTGCAGGCAAGATTAGCTGCTTTAGTAAGTAGGATTTTTGTGGTCTTTTTTTTTTTTTACATAGTACCAAGCCTTGAGAATTATGCATTTTTTTTATCCATTACTAACCTTTAATTTAATCAATCATGTACTTTAGTTTAATGTATAAAGATCCTCTAGAAAATGATAATATTGTGTATTAAGACATTCCTTAACTAGGACAAATGGCTGCTGTATATTTACAATATGGAATTCTGAGTTAACTGCCATCCTTAGTACTGGGAACAGAATACAACCCCTATTCATTCGGATGCAGGTGGTACACACATCACCAGAGTGATCAATATAAATTTTCTTGGTGTATCATTTTCCTTCCAGCACAGTGCAGATAGAGTTGAATATTGATACCATAAATTTAGACTGCTGTTCTGATTGTATTTATCTTTTTCTACATCATTTAGAACTTTATTTCCCTAATTCAGTTTTTGCTGCTGTGAAACAGCTTTGATGAACACTAAATATTAATTTCAGTTAGCTGAATTGTACATACTTGCAGATTTAACAAAATTTTAGGGAAATTGAAAAAGACATGTAGAATTTTGTTCAGTCATTTGCTAAGCACGAATTAAGATATCTGCTTACATTAATTTTGTAAACCCATTCAACCAAGGTTTAGAATTTCAGTTGTTGGCAGGTATCTGTGCATTTTGTAGAGCGTCTGAGGATCCCAGGATTACTTTGAAGGGATTTTTATTAGTTTAAAGCTAAATAAAATCAGCTGAATCTACATGTCTCTTGTTTTATTTCTCTCTAAACTTGAAAACAATAAATCTGCAGATACTGTGAGGCACAAATCATGCTGTCAACTACTGTTGCTATGGTTATAGACCCCACTTCATACATTACCAAGAGTCGATCACTGATTTAAAATTTTTAATTTCTATAGTTAAGATATACTGCATAATATAGAGTATAAAGTTAAGTTAACATACTAACATTTCTCCTTTGGAGGAAGTTTTAATCCACTTCAGGATGCATATTATTGAGATACTTTCATATACAGGATAGCCTAATTTTATTGGTTTAAATATGCCTAATATGCTCCAGATTGCAAATGCATCCAGTCAGTAATAACGCTGTCTGTATGTGGAAGACATGTTCTCATGGATCAGTTGTGGAGATGTCAATAAGCTTGCATTAAGCCACCTGCTTTGTAAGTGGATTGATTAATAAATAACTTATATTTCTATTGTCTTTGTGTTTCATAATTAGTTTTTATAAATTAATTTACATTAAATATCTTGGAATTAAAAAACAGAGATCTCACCAAAACTGATATTTGCAAAATGTAGTGTTCAATCAGTTTTATCTTTTATATTAGTAATGGTTATAGTGTAGTAATTGTCAGTATCACCATGCTTTAACATACTATGTTTGCAGATTCAGGGTGGACTATGGGATGGATTAAGAAATTGGAATATAAAATAACATTTTTAAAAAGCATACTTGAGCTAGAGTGGTGGCGCCTGCCTGTAAGCCCCACTACTTGGGGCAGGGGATCTCAAGTTTACAGCCAGTCTGGGAAATTTAGCAAGACCCTTTTGCAAAATAAAAATTCAGAAATGCTGGGGTTACATAGCTCAATGCTAGAGCAGTTGCCTACGCACACATGAAGCAAAATTCTGGGTTCAGTTCTCCAGTACTGCAGTACTGCCACAAAAGAGAAAAGTATGCTTGATGATTAAACTTCAGGTGTAAAAAGGTTGGGGAACCATATGAAAGAGAATTACTCATGTCTTCTGTTTTGGGGAAAAGAACAAGTCCTGTCTTCCTCCAAGCTGCCTGTGTGGATGTAAGATTGATTGCCCCTTGAGAACCTGGGTCCATGCCAGGGGATTGACAGTATAAGTAATCTGGGGAGAAATCTGTACTGTGGGATCCTCTTGATGGTCCCTAAAACACAAGAAAAGCACAGAACAATGTCTATTTTACAATATTATATGAGATTTAGATGCATAACAACTTGTTGTCTTGTATAATTGCTAGTACATTTTTTTTAGTTGTAGGTAAGGCTTCTAGTTACTTTAAATTTTGTTTAAAGCAAGTATTTATGTCATAAATGTGAATTATTGATGCAGAAACCTGTTACACTACTGCTGTTAATTGCAGAAAAATGTGACAATTAACCAAGTAAGGAAGAAAATGCTTTTGAACATTGTTGCTTTGTGGGCTTTGTTTTGTAGTCTTCCATCTCCTGCTGCATCTTATGTCAAAATGTACATTTCAGTGAAAGCTCTCCAAATCTAAAGACTACAGTTCTTTTGTCAACAAACCCTTTTCAATATTGTTACTATCCAAGTGGTGACTAGTACTGGAAACATTTCTTACTCTAGTGATTTGATTTTTGCTGCTAGTATTTTTTAGCATTTGAACATAATAACTGACATAGAGAAAATGAATTCTGTTTAAAAATTAGTCATTTGTCGGGCTAGGGATTTAGCTCAGTGGTTTCACCGCCTGCTGTGCAAGCTCAAGGACCCAAGTTCGATCCCCGGTACCAAAAAAAAAAATCTAAAAATAAAAATAAAAATTAGTCATTTGTAACTAGTTCAAACACTGAAAGTAAAATATAAACTCTTGAGGACATTTCATTATTATTTCATGAATGAGAAAATTTAATCTGTAGAAAACACATCCTAATTTCTAATTTAATCCCTGAATACGGTAAATTTGGGTTTATCGAAAACTTCATGTCACAGTAGTGGAAATATCAAAGTTAAAGTTACACTCTATCGTATGTTTCAATCATTTTCTTGAATTAAAAATTATATTCAAAAAATATTCAAGAACTAGGGTTGTAGCTCAGTGATAGAGTGCTTGTTTTGCATGTGCAAGGCCCTGGATTTGATCCCCAGCTCCATGAACAAAAAAAAATGACATTCAAAACAATTATTTCTTTTTTTTTGGTACCGGGAATCGAACTGGGGACCTTGTGCTTGTGAGGCAGGTGCCAGAACCACTGAGCTAAGTCCCCAGGCCCTCAAAACAATTATTTCTAAGAAAAATAAATGTTACCAATTACATTCTGTCATTGCCAAACTGGAGACAATCTCTTCTCTTGTATTTACAAATTCACAGGCCACATAGGAGTTTTTAGAATAATTTAAAGAATACAGATGTTGGACTCAGTCAGACCTAGGTTTCAAATTGTGTAATTTTGAACAACTTGTAAAAAATATGTATATTGGGGTGTTTTTGTTTTTTGTTTTTCATTTTTGTTTGTTTTGACACAAGGCCTTGAACTGTGTAGTTCAGGCTGGCCTCGAACTCACAGAGATCCTCCTTCCTCAGTCTCCCCGGTTCTGGGATTTCAGGCATGCACCACTATGCCTGGCCAGTTTTGAACAGTGTAACCTTTTTGAGCTTAAAATCTTTCATCTATGTAATAGAAATAAAAATTACCTCTTAGTGTTGCTGTTGAGTAAATGAGCTAATGAATGTGGAGGACTTTGCACACAGTACACAAAGGACTCAGTTCCCCCTGTGCTTGTGCTCGCCCACCCCCAGGTTCTGTTGCCTTTGAGGGGAGGTGACAGCCCTGCAAGGTGCAGTATTTGCCCCGCATATGTTTCTCACATTCCGTCCAAGTGAGTGATCATTATATAAGAAGAAACAGTCTTCTTTGACCTTAGGGTGGAAGTTATCTTTTTCTATAGAGATAAAAGATTTCAAATGCTTTCTTACTCATTCTCTTCTTTCCTCATCACTAAGCTCTTGTACCAGGGTACTGTTAGGAATTAAACACACACTTCTGAGCTGCTTTTGTGTATTTTAGCTGCATCTGTTCGTGCCTGTAGGCTGATAACCCTGAGAGCACATGGCAGGTGTGGGTTTCCTGAAGGAGCTTGTGTTTAGCTTGGTTGGTGCTCTGAATCCTCTACCATCACTACAGAATGGATTAGACTCTTCTTTTTGTGCTGGGGATCGGATCGAACTTAGGACCTCACACCTGCCAGGCAGGCACTGTGCCACTGAGTTACATCCCTAGCCCAGAATGAATTAGACTTAATACTAATTTTTATTGTGAGCTCTGATGAATCAGTTTTGCTTAAGGTCATCATACTCAATATGTGGGAGTGGGATCCTGGGCAAACTACAGATTGTCTTTGATAGATTCTGTCTAGAAAGTTAAAATTTAGCTTCTGCATAGTTGGAAGTACAACCTACCATACTCGCATTTCTAGCCTGGCATTTCAGGGATGACCCTTCGTCTCATGTGTATGGGAATTCTTCCATCATGTGGGACACTCCAAACTTGTTATGCTAGGGGTTCTGGTCTTTAGATTCATTTTTTTTTTTTGGTACTGGAGATCGAACTCAAGACCTTGTGCTTGTGAGGCAGGCAGCGGAACCACGGAGCCAAACCCCTGGCCCCTGGTCTTTAGAATCTTAAGAGCTTTTGTGTGAGAAAGGTGTTTGACAAGGTAATTGGAAGAGACCTAGTAAGTCTCCTGTACCTTGCTTTCCAAACTGCCTTTAAAAAAAGAATGAAGATGCCTTTTATTGACCTGCTATATCTAGACGACTGAACTATTAGTATTTGCTCAAAGAATAAGTGGTTGAAATATACCTGGGTTCCTAGATCATCATAGTTAGCTGCATACCCCACCCCCAAGTTTTATGTTATTGTGTGCTTTGAAGTAATTACCTATTGCTTTGTAACTCCAAAACTTAGTGAATTAAACAATAGCCATTGCAGTTTTTGTGGATTCAGGATGAAGAACAGCTGAGTTCAGTGTTTCTCAGAGTCTGGAGTGTTCACTCTGGACCATAGTTGCAGCTGTGTTCACCGAAGGCTTGTCTTGTGTCTGGACAGTCTGCATCTAAGATGGCTCGTTCTCGAGGCTGTGCACAGGCAGCCTCTTCCCTTCTGGTCTGGGTTAAGAGCTCTCACTTCATCGCCACTTGGGCTGTTCCTTAGAGATGCTTGAGTGGCGTGACGTGGTGTAGTTGCCTCTCCCAGAGTGGTCCCAAGGAGAGTGAGTGCCAGCCAGGAGGAAGCCCAGTGCCTTTTCTGAGCTAGTCTGGGAAGTCACACTGTCTCTTCTGACTCCTTAGAAGGGAGAGTCACCGCAGCCTACCCTGACTGAGGGAAGTGGCTTCCACCATTGGAAGAAAGGCACAGCCAGGGGTCTATGCATCCTTCCAAACAGTGACTCCTGTTCCCTATGTCAAGACCCTGCTCTGGTTTTCTGTGGCCAAGCATCCTACGAGATTGGCTTCAGTGCTGCCCAATTTCTGTTACCTCTGACTCATGGCTCCATATCTGATAATCATGCTTTCTCGTGCCCTAGGGAGACAGCCAAATGCCAAGACATCCAATGGACATGTCAAACGCACTGTTTTCCCGTGCCAGAAATCAATCAGGATAGCATTATTGAAAACTCCAAATTTAGAAATGATTGTAAATCTCAACTAGTACGGTGTGTTTTTAAAAATGAGACCCTATGAGAATCCAAGAGGATAGCACGACTATACTCTTACCTACTTTGTAACAAAGCACCACAAAACTTAGCATCTTAAAACCCTGCTATGTGTTCATAGATGTGGAATTTGGAGAGGACTGGGCATGCATGGCACCTCTCTGTGGTATAATGTGTTCCTCCTTTGGCTGCGTTCAGCTTGGGCAAGTCAAGTGCCAACAAAAGGTGCGGCATAAAAGTGTTATCTATTTCTAACCCACCACAGTAAGGTAAAACAAGCCTTGTTGCTTTGTTAGAATATGTCCTACAAACTTCTGAAATTACTAATACCCCCTGACCCAGCTTCCCATGAGGAGCCAACCCTGTGAGCCCGAGCCACACAACGACCTGTGTTTTCAATAATAGAGGAATCAGGAGGGAAGGAACTTTCTCAGGCTGGTATTTGAGGGAAAAAATTTATGGGATGGAATTAGGTTCCTGGTCATTTGACTCGTATCTTTATATAATACAGAAATTCTCCCTGCCTTGTTTGGTAGATGATTACTGTGATGTGTAGTTTATGAGCCCACTTGACTGGGTCACAGGCCATTTGGTGTTGTGTCTGTGAGGCTGTCTCTAGGTGAGATTCAACTTTAAATCACCCAGCTGCAGTGCTGTGCACCTGCAATCCCACCTACTTGTGAGGAGAGGCAAGAGGAAGCTTGACTTAAGGAGTTTGAATCTTGGCCTGGACAACATAGCAAGACCTGGTCTCAGAAACAGAACAGCCAGGTGTGGCGGTGGATGCCTGTAATGCAAGCGCTTGGGAGACTGAGGCAGGAGGATTGCTTCGAGTTTGAGGCCAGCCTGAGCTACATAGCAAGACTCTTAACAAATCCGGAGGGCAGATTGCCCTCCCTGTGTGGGTGGGGCTCATCTGTTAGTTGAAAACCTGAAGAGAACAAAAGGGCTGGCCTTCCTATGGATAAGGGGAAACTCCTCCCACTGCCTTCCTGCAGATTGGAAATTTCTGATGCGCGACAGACATCCTGCAAGGGTTGGGGGATTTAATCCAGTTATTTAAATCTGTTAACCTAAGGAAGTGAAATGAGCTAAGGGGAAGAGGAATGGGGAGCCTGCCTGCTGGAATTCTCAGATGCAGCCTGGAGCACGTGCTGCCTTAGCTCTGGCGCTGGGCCTTTCTTTTTCTTTTCGTTTTGCTTTGTTTCTGTGCTGGCGGTGACCCTAGGGCCCACACATGTATCCTACCACTGAGCTGAAATCCCAGCCCTCTTTTCCTGTCCTGATCTTCATCACCTCTTTTCCAAGGCAACTTTAATACCGTTCACTTTGGATTTCATTCTCCCACCCTTCTGCTCAAGATGTGGTCATCCAGTGTTTTGCATTTTAAAATCTTACACACGTGTGAGAATCACGCATTCCATGAAAATGTATTGCCTCTGACTTGCAATGTACAATACTAGGTGTTGGGAATACAATGGAGAGTTTACACCAATCAGGAACCACGAACTCGCTTTTAGTTCTTCTCTCCTGAGAGTCTCAGTTTTTGAGCACCCGTTTGAGTCCGCACCTAACTCTGCAGCCTTAAGCTACTCAGCTATCCTACTACCCAGGCCAACCCAACCTCCACCCCCCTGCCATTTCCGGAAGATCGGTCGGGGTGTGGTGGTGCACGCCTGTGATCCTAGCACTCTGGGAGGCCTATAGGCACGGGGATCGCAAGTTCGAGCCCATCCTGAGCAATTTAGCAGGAGTGTCTCAAAAAATTTAAAAAAGAGCTTGGGATGTAAGTGCGAAGGCCCTGAACTCAATACCTTGTACGCAAAATTGAAAACAAAAAGCCCCAAACTGGCATTATGAGGGTGTCCCTTAGACTGCACTTTTGTCCACCGCGTACGAAAGTCGGGAGGACAGGTCAGTGAGGTCTTGTCAAAATTCAGAGCTTCTCCCAGAGTTCATTTTTGTTTACCTCGGGGTAAAAGAAGAGAAACAGCCTCAACTCAGGGCTAAGGGCATCAGCCAATCAGCGTGTGCAGGGCCTCCGGAGCGGCCAATGAAGAGCTCGCTCCGGGTGTGCGGCCGCCCAATGGGTCGCGAGTGGCGCGGTATTTGAATCTCGGAACCGCAGCGTACGCCGCGGACCCGGCGGGGTGGCCGGAGCTCAGCTAACGGCGCCGCGGTGTCAGCGCTCTCTCCCCGCTCCCTGGAACGGCAGCGGTCCCGGCCCCGCAGCGCATTCCTCATGGCGCTACTCCGACCCCCGGCGGTGAGTGGCCGGCCCGCCCTTCTCCAGCCGGGGTCCCCCCCGGCCGTGTCTCTCTGACCGGCTCCGGGTTGCCCTCTCCCCTCTCCCGTCCGGGTGGGGGAAGAGTAGGGCCCCAGGAGGGATTTCCTCCCCTTTCCCGCTGCTCCTCGCCGACGCGTCTAGGGGGCCCGGGGCGGTGGAGGACTGGAGGGAATTCGTTAGGCGGCCAAGTGTCCTGAATGAGCGATCAGCTAACAGCCATGGCTGTTTTCGCATGTGCCACGTTTTCCTTTGTGTCCTCAAAAAGCTAATTTCCCCAGTCAGAAGCCTATAATGAAGACTGAGAGAAAAGGGTCCAAATTGATTTATCTTTGTAAAAAAGTGGTATTGGAGTTTTGGTATTTTACCTATGGGCTTGAATTATACCTGGATTTACTTTTGCTAAAAACTACGGGGTCCTGACACAGCTGAGTTCCATTATCCTGCCTATAACACTGGTTAAAAGCTGCCAGTTTTCCTTTCCTGATGAATTTAAACGTGGTCACATGACCAGGCTTCAACCATTAGCATTGAGCTTTCAGACCCTTTTTAAAACTGGCAACTGATAACTGCGAAAATTGAACAGTATGAGTTTTGACATCCTAACCCTAAATACTGAATATATTCATTCACTATTCATATTCTCTTATAGTTCTAAGACCAACTAACAAATACTGCAATTTAAAAAATTTTATGTATGTTTGCTTTATTTGGAGACGTCTATGTAGCCCAGGCTGGCCTTGAACTCACGGTGATCCTTCTGCCTCAGCCTCCTGAGTGCTGGCATTACAGGCATTCAGCACCAGGCCTGTCTAACAAGTAACTTTTGTCTAATTTGTCCTATGAAATTATTTAATAAAGTTCTTTCTACTCAGGAAAAAGTCCATTCTCAAGCTCCCTGTTGGGAGTTTCTTAGTTTTCTCAGGCTTGTGGCATGCCATTTTTTCTCGTGAAATGTTGATCATTTCTAATGAAATAAACTTTTGGCATGATTTGCTTTTGCTAACAAGTTTGTAAGTATATTCTGGATAAAGCTACTTAAAGCCAAATAGGTCAACTATTCTAACTTTCCCAGTTTGAGAGCTATAACTATTTTATCCAAGAAAACCATTTCCATTCTAAGTTCCTTAATATAAGTTTTTACTGTGGAACCCCCCCCACACCCCCCATCACAAAGTACTGGGGATTGAACCCAGGGTCTATCCTGGGCCTTTTTTATATTTTATTTTGAGACAGAGTCTCACTAAGCCACTAAACTGGCCAGGCTGGGTTGGAACTTGGAATCCTGCCTCAGCCTCTCAGAGTGCTGGCATTACAGGTGTCAAGCTCAATTTTTAAAGCTGTATTTGTAAAAAATTATCTCTACAGGACCACTTCTTATTTCTAGAATGGTATAATAAAACCAGTTTAGGTTTTAAACATCAGGCATTTAATAGGTTTATTATTAACTATGGATATTATAAGCTTTCAGTTTTTCATTTTAAGTATCCTTGTTATTAACCCTTGTAAAACAAGGTTTTAAAATGAGTAACCTGCAGGGATTTCTAACTAGCCACATGAGAAATAATCATTTATCTGTGAAGCTTTGAATGAAGTTCTCTTAAAGGAAGGCCCCCTGGAATGATTATGGTAGTTTTGCAAGGTTGGTTGGAGAATCTATATTATAGATAAGGCGATTTGCTTAATTTAGTGCAATGCTATTAATCATAAGCATATTTAGACTTCCTGAAATATGGCTTTTCCAAATAGGTGTCAGCAATATTCACCTTTCCCAAAGCAATTCGTTCTTTTTACTTTTTAAATTTATTTATTTTTTTGGTACCGGGGATTGAACTCAGGACCTTGCGCTTGTGAGGCAGGCATGATGCCACTGAGCTAAATTTCTGGCCCTATTTTTTTTTTTTTCTTTTGAGACAAGGTCTCTATGTAGCCCAGGCTGGCCTCCAACTCATGGCAATCCTTCTGCCTCAGCCTCCCAAGTGCTAGAATTACATATATCTGCCACCACACCTAGCTCCCAAAGCAATTCTAAATTTGAATATCTGACATTAGATATTTTAAATTGTTTTATTGCTTTATCAACTTTGTTTTTCTAGGTGTCCAATGATTTGGAGAATATTAACACAGGAGTTAATTCTAAAGCTAAGAGCCATGTGACTATTAGGCGTGCAGTTCTGGAAGAAATTGGAAATAGAGTTATGACCAGAGGAGCCCACGTTGCTAAGGTAACAATCCTGAGGTTGTATTTCCATTAGAGGCTGATTTGGTACAGCACAGGAGGACAATGCTGGCTGTCTTGCCTTATCTGAGTTTTTCTTTCCTTGTAGAAAGCTCAGAACACCAGAGTACCAGTTCACCCTACCAAAGCAACAAATGTCAGCAAACAACCGAAACCTACTGCTTCTGTGAAACCGGTACAGATGGAAGTGCTGGCTCCGAAGGTAGGAGTTTCCGAATTGACAAGTAATTACAGGAGCAGCCTGATTTTAGCTAAACTGCAGGGGTGCCTTTATCTGCACTGTGGCTTTGGAAGAATCTTCACAGCTAGGGTTCTGCTTGGATGGATGCAGTACTACAGGAAATGAATACATACGCCTTTTCTATCTGGGTACCTTAATGTTAGACCTTGACTAATAAAATTAATTACCTTGATATCCAGATAAATTTAGTGATCTCGGGGGAAATTAAAACAACCCAATATAAGAACGATAACTCCTTCACACTTTCCAGGTCAAAAATTTATACTACTGTACAGTATGTTTGAAATATTTCAAAAGAAAACGTTGGATATATTCTTTGTATTGAATGCTTACACTACATACCCAACTGTACTAGGTCTGCTAAAGAGACTTCTTACTCAGGAGACATGTGCAGAAAGGGCATATGTTCCTGAAAACTGAATGAGTGATCCCAGGGAGCAACACTGGATAACCCTGGGCATATGTGGCTGAGTGCCACGTGAGCAGTGAGACCTAAGTGCTGTCCTTTGGAACCTGCACCTGCAGGCGGGGGAGAGCAGGGGGAGGTGGTCAGAGAATCCTTATTCCCGAGTGCTGATTTTTAAGAATACAGAGATGCTGATGGGAAAGGGAACCTTTTGTTTGTTTGTTTGTTGTTTTTTTTGCAGTACTGGGAATTGAACTCAGGACCTTGCTCTTGAGAAGCAGGCACAGTGTCACTGAGCTAAATCCCTGGCCTGAAAGGGGAGCTTTTTGGTGATTGATGCAGCAACAACAAAAATCAAGGCACTAAAGTGCTTGTCATGCCCTTTGGCCAGGGAGCCTGCAGATCTAAGTTGCGTCAGAAAGCTTGTCTGAGGTTGGGAAGAACATTGTAGTTGGATCTGAAGGTCTTGGAATTTGGATTTTATCCTGTTCGGTAGCGAGGGTGGTGAAACATTTCAAGGAGGGGAGATGTAGGAACAGCGTTAGGAGGTATCGTAGTTATCCAGCAAGGTGAGGAGGACCTTGCATTAGCCCAGGTGTCCTCTGGGTGCTGAGTCACTCCCAGCTCCTATACAAGATGCTAAGAAGCATCGAGTGCGTTAGGGACCTCATCCGTGTGGAGAAAATGTGTTCTGCTTGGCTTTAGGCTCGTCACAGTAGCGAGGGGTCATACTGTGCCTAGAGATGCTGTCACCAAGTTGCCTGGGATCCCTGCAAAAGGGATAGGCTTGCCAGCGCCCACCCAGGGTCACCATCGGAGGCACAGTGTTGTTTATGAGGCAGGAGAAAAAGGGGCTTCAAATTGAGAACTAAAGTTCAGAGCAGGTTCTTTAAGATGCAGCCTTCTAAGGGGGTCTGGTTTCTGGGATGCAAGGCCAGTTTCCAGGTGGCCTCTTGACACTACGTGTGGGTTGCTGAATGTCGTTCCAGTATTGCAGAGGGGCGACGTGGCGGTGTATTTTAGTTGGTTATCTTCATTCCTAGTGAGTCTGTCTTTACAGTTCATCCAAAAACAAAACAACAACAAAACAGGGATAATCAAGGACTTCTACATAGTACCCCAATAAATACCTATTATGTGGTAGAGACCCCTATATTAGGAGATCAGTTAAATCCATTTAATGAACTACTATACAACTATAAATATCATGTTTTAGTACAACATTTAAAATGTGAAAATGGGACAGGGGATTTAGCTCAGTGGTTCCGCCATCTGCCTCACAAGCGCAAGGTCCTGAGTTTGATCCCCGGTACCAAAAAAAAAAAGTAAAATGTGAAAATGCTTCCAGCATTCAGTAGGAAAAAATATGACAACATAGTATATACCAGTGCAAAACCAGATTTGCTCTTAAAAATGCATTTACTTGTAAAATATTCATGGTAGTTATTTTTGACTTTTATGTTGGACTTGATTGTCATTTTCTTCAAAATTTCACGCTTTCACAATATGTACATATATAACTGTTCAGAGAAGGGGAAAGTATGATCAATTAAAAAGAAAAAAAAAAGGGCCAGGGATGTAGCTCAGCGGCACAGCGCCTGCCTGGTAAACGTGAGGTCCTGAGTTCGATCCCCGGTACCAAAAGAAAGAAAAAACATCAGGCACCAGGCATGGTGGCGCACATCTGTAATCTGCGCTTCTCGGGAGGCTGGGCCAGGATGATTGAAAGTTTGAGGCTGGCCCCGGCAACTGAGTGAGACCCTGACTCAAAACAAATAAACTGAAAAAAAACAGAAACAGAGGGGAGAGGGAGAGAGAAAGAAAGAGGGAGGGAAGTAGAGAGGAACCAGAAAAGTGTTATGAAAGAGGAAAGAAAGGAAAATTTGTTTCTGCGGCCTTTATGACTCTACTCTTACTGAGTTCCTTCATGCCATATTCTTGGCTAACTCCCTTTTCTGTAGCTTCTTGACAAATTTCAGGCCATAGTGTTTCAGAATAAAACATGATAGACCTGGAGCTCTATTCTTAGAAAAGATCACTTCTGTGGGGATTTAGCTCAGGGGTGCTATGTCTGCCTCACAAGTGCAAGGTCCTGAGTTCAATCCCCAGTACCAAAAAAAACCCCCAGCCAAACAAAACAAAACAAAAGAGATCACTTCTGTGATGAAAAGGTAAAGCTGGATATTCTGTTATTTGAAGTTATCTGGGAATAATGAACAACAGTTATTTTTCCTTTTTTTAGATAGAGTCTTGCTGTGTAGCCCAGGCTGGCCTCGAACTCATGGGAATACCCCTGCTTCAGCCTTCCAATTGTTTTGTTTTTTGAGACAGGATCTCACTATGTAGTTAAGTCTGGCCTTGAACTCACAGTGTACCCTAGGCTGGCCTCAAACTTGTGGCGATCCTCCTGCCTCAGCCTCCAAGTGCTGGTCTTACAGGCATGCACCACCACAACAGGCAGTTTACTTCCAATTCAATTACTTGTTTGGGAATCCCATGGTAAGGGGACTATTAAGTCCACACTTTAGGTGAAGCCCACCTTCTGGCAGGTGAGTGCCTCTGCCTGCCTGGCTCTGCCCTGGCTTTGACTTGGTCACCGCTCTGTTTGCAGACATTATTGTCCTGGGGTCATGCAAATGCCAGTTGAGCACACAAGTTCCTAGCCAATTTCCTAGAGAGTTCATGTACATGAAAGCAGGTATTCCAGAAGTCTACCCGAACTCCCACTATCCTCTCCCAACCTGGAGGCAGGCAGATCACAAAGGGGGCTTGAGGAGATGAACAGAATTCCAGGCATTTGCAGAACTTATGTTGGAGAAAACGGTGTCTTACTGACTACTGAGGCCCTAGTGAAAACTGAGTAGCTTGGAAGAAAGGAGATGAGTTATAACCAGAAACTTGCTTGCTGCGCACTGGGCTAACAAGTTGAATAAACCATCAGCTCAGCCCCCACGTAGCTTGAAGCCCAGTCGGGGAAGCTAGGAGTGAAGCGTTGTCCCACCCCATGCAGAGGCGGGGCAAGGTTAGGAGAGGCTCTCTGGAGTAGAAGCTAGAAACGCAGATGATCCACATCCAGTGACAGTGACTATTCAGGTGTGAGGGGGCCAGGGATTTAGCTCAGTGATTTTGCTGCGTGCCGCACAAGCGCAAGGACTCGAGCTCGATCCCCGGTACCAAAAAAAAAACAAACAAACCAAAAAACCAAAACTATTCAGGTGTAAGAATGTTTCCCAGCTGAACTTTCTCTAGCGCACCTGTAAAAGGGAAGGAAGCACAACGGTTCGCATTAAAGAGACTTATTTTTAATTGCACAGGAAACAGCCATAACAACAACAAAACAATACAGAAATGCATTGAGTACATAGAAAGAAAACAGTTCATTGTTACTATCTGCCCAGTTTCACGTCTGCTACATTCCTACAGCTCATCACAGGGGCTGATTTTGCCTTTCTCCTGCCTATCTACAACCATGTGTGCCCTAGGTTTCTTGCTACAGATCACAAACTTAGCAGCATCAGCAGTTCTTGGTATCCTTCTTGTTGAACTTGAGTTACCACAAATTTAGTAAATAAAAGGGACTCTCTTTGATCAAAACGTGCGAATACCTGTGTATTTGCATGTTGGTGCTAACCCGTTCCCTCAGCAGTCATGCCAGAACTTGAGTAGCCCCAGCCATCCTTGCCTGCCCTGCACTGCATCAACAGGAGCTTCTCAAGCCACATTTCCCATCTTTATGGTTTCTGATCTGACCGTTCAGTTGTCTCTCACAGCCCACATACCCATTCATTCATCTCACCGGAAGGTTTTTATTTGCAGGCCACTTTTGTCATTTAAAAGTTTTAAAATAATTATTTGTAGGGGAAACTATGGAGTGACCATAGAGTGTGTATATTTTCTTTTTTCCCCACCGCAATTTCATCTTTTAACTGCTACATAAAAATTGTACTTACTAATGAGGAACTATGTGATGTTTTGAAACATGTATACATTGTATAATGTTCAGAGTAAACATCTAGCTCCTCAAATATTTATCATTTCCTTATGGTGGAACAGTGAAAATCCTTTTTTTTTTTTTGAGACAGGGTGTTGCTATGTAAGTCAGGCCTCGAACTCATGGCGAACCTCCTGCCTCAGCCTCCTGAGTGCTGGGGTTACAAGCCTGCGCCACCACACTTGGTTCCAAAATCCTTTCTGTAGCTGTTGTGACTTGCATACTACAATATCATTATCTGTAGTCACTCTCGTGCCATTGCACACCAGAGCTTCTCCTTCCCATCTAACTAATTAGTGGCACTCTCCAACTTCTCTCCACCCTTCCCTCCCCTGCTCTCTCTAGCCTCTGGGAACCACTGTTCTCTCAACTTACACGACATCAGCTTTCTCTTAGCTGCCACACCTGGGGAGATCATGTGGTACTTCTCTGTCCATGCCTGGCTCCCTTAAAAGTACCCATTTTTAGGGCCGCAGATTTAGCTTAGCAGCACAGCGCCTGCCTCACAAGCACAAGTCCTGAGTTCAATCCCTGGTACCAAAAAAAAAGTATGCATTGGGAATCGAACCCCAGGCAGGCCTCATGCAAGCTAGAGAAGTGCTCTACCACTGAGCTCAGCCTCTTGTTTAGGAGTTGGGATGGTTAATCAGCTAGTTTTATTTTTGTTTTATACACAGCAGATGCTGGGCAGAGGGACTGCAAGGTGGCCCACGGGTGTAGAATAATTCAGAACCCAGAGGCTTGCTTTCCAGCCATTCTGGGTTTTTTTTTTTGTGGTACTGGGGATCAAACTCAGGAGCTTGTGCTTGCAAGACAGGGGCAGTGCCACTGAGCTAAATCCCTGGCCCCATTCTGTTTTTTTTTTTTGAGGCAGTGTCTTGCTATGTAGTTCAGGCTGGCCCTGAACTCACTGTGTAGCCCAAGCTTGCCTTGAACTTGAAGCAATCCTTCTGCCTCAGCCTCCTGAGAGCTGGGATTACAGGCATGCACCACTACAGCTGCCTTAGCTTTCTTTTGTTTAGTCGTCCTCCTCAGGTGCTACCCTCCCCAGCGGCCCAGCAACTCTTCCCACTCACGCTCAGCCCTGGAGCTGGCACGTGCCTGAGTAAATGGCATGCACACCTGCCTAACCCATGTTTATCTGGCTCTGCCTCAGCTTAAGACCTTTGATTTAAGAAGGAAGGCAGCTGGGAGGCTAAAGCAGGAGGATTGAGTTTGAGGCCAGCCTGGGCTGCAAAGGGAAGAAATCCTGTCAGGGTTTTGCCATTTTTTGGTTTGTTTTTGAGGCGGTCTATGTAGTTCAGGGTGGCCTCCAACTCACAGCATTTCTCTTCCCTCAGCCTCCTAAATGTTGGGATTATAGGTGTGCACCATCAATCCCAGCTTCTGCCATTTATTGTGCACCTACTATGTAGACACGGGTGTTTGAGGTACTTTAGTGCACAAAGGTAACCAACTGAGTAGAGATTATAGAGCTCACATTCTGGTGGCAGTACACACAAAGTACCCTTGAAATAGAAGCAGAGTCTGTAGTATCTTGGGTGATAAGTTCTTTGAGGAAGAAACACAGTAACTCATGGGCTTGCATTTGTTGGCCTAGGGTCCTTCTCCTACCCCCAAGGATGTCTCCATGAAGGAGGAGAACCTCTGCCAAGCTTTCTCTGATGCGCTGCTCTGTAAAATCGAGGACATTGACACTGAAGACTGGGAGAACCCCCAGCTCTGCAGCGACTACGTCAAAGACATCTACCAGTACCTTCGGCAGCTCGAGGTGGGTGGCCTTGGTGGCTGGGTTGTACAAGCAATGTGGGAGGAAAACGAGGTCAGCTTCTGCAACTTTTCCACCCCACCCTCAGGTTTCGCAGTCCATCAGCCCACGTTTCTTGGATGGAAGAGACATAAATGGGCGCATGCGTGCCATCCTGGTGGACTGGCTGGTACAAGTGCATTCCAAGTTCAGACTCCTGCAGGAAACACTCTACATGTGTGTGGCCATCATGGATCGCTTTTTACAGGTAAGCACACCCTCGCCTCTGTGCCTGTGGCTCACTAAACGCTGCGTTAGTTACATTGGAGTCGCTCTGAAGAAATGACCAAAAGCCAATTTATGAGGAGCTGAAGAACGTGAGGTGCTGCAGAGGGAAGTAGTCCACGTGTGTCAGCCCTTTGGTGATGTTGGCCAACTCTGACGGTTCTATCAGGAGGCCAGCTCTGAAGGGCTCAGGGAAACACGCTGATTGTCCCTTATCCCAAATGCTTAGGGCCAGAAGTGTTTGGGGTTTTAGATTTGTTTACATTTTAGAATATTTGCACATGCATAATGAAATATCCTGGGGCTGGGCCCCAAGTGGAAACCCAAAGTTACTTATTTCATCTGTACCCTAAACGTATAGCCTGAAGGTAATTTTATTAAATGTTTCTAACACACCCAGATTCTGATTATCACTCACAGGAGGTCAGTTGTGGGATTTTACACTTGTGGCATCACATGAGCACCCAGAAAGTTTTGGATTTTGGAGCATTTCAGGTATCGGATTTTTGGTTTAGACATGTCCATTGTGTGTTGTGGAGCTGCAGTCATTCATTAGAGGAAGAACTCCAATAGAGTGGGTGAAAGGCAACCCAAAGCTGGGTGGATTTGGATGCTGTTTCTCTAGCCTGCTAACACCATTGGCTGTGCAGGCTAATCAACTTTAAAAATGAAAAAGTCAGTTTAGGGCCAGGGATTTAGCTCAGTGGTGCCTCTGCCTGCCTCACAAGCTCAAGGTCCCAAGTTCAATCCCTGGTACCAAAAAAAGTTTAAAGGATACCAAAAAAAAAAGTTTAAAGGAGCAAAAGTTTATTTAGGCTCACGGTTTCAGAGGTTTTAGTCCATGACTGGCCAGCTCCATTGCTTTAAGGCTGTGGAAAAGCAAAAACACTATGGTGGAAGCTGCTTTCCTTGTGGTACCCAAGTAGCAGAGTGAGGGTAAAGCAAGTGAGGAAGCCGCTGGGGATGAGATACACCTTCCAAAGCCACACCCCATGAGCTGTTTGGTCCAATCAGGTCCCTCCTCCTTGTAAGCCCACTGAGCTATGAACTTATGAATAGATTAATCCATTGGTGAAGTTAGAGTCCTCATGATCAGTCACTTCCCTAAAGCCCATCAGCTCACAATCAAGCCTTTAGCACCTGAGTTTTAGGAGATATCACAAATCCAAAGTATAATATTGTGGTATAGACTCACTGTAGAAATAAGGGAGAGGAAGCAGAGTTTATTTTGTTTTTTTTTTTTTCTTTTTTTGGTACCGGAGATCGAACTCAGGTCCTTGAGCTTGTGAGGCGGGCGGCGGAACCACTGAGCTAAATCCCTGGCCCCTATTTTTTGGTTTTTTGTTCTGTTTGGTTTTTTTTGGTACCGGGGATTGAACTTGGGACCTTGTGCTTGTAAGGCAGGCACTGGAACTGCTGAGCTAAATCCCTGGCCCCTATTTTTTGGTTGTTTGATTGCTCCTTTTTTTTTTTTCTTTTTTCTTTTGAGACGGTCTCACTGCGTAGCCCAGGCTGACCTTGAACTTGCCACGATCCTCTTGCCTCAGCCTCCTGAAGGCTGGGATTTACAGGCGTGCACCATCACCACACCTGACCTTCCTTTTTTTTTTTTTTTTTTTAAAGGAACACGGTATATGTATGGAGTATAATGAGAATTGGGGGCATAAACTAAAGAGGACTGCAAGTAAGCTGAGAAGCATCAAAATACTTATCACCTGTTGACACACTGACACTAACTAGAAGAGATGCCAGGTGTAAACCGTGTGTGTTGGTTACCAAGTGGAAGCCCTTCAGTTAAGGACTCAGTCAATGTTCGTGAAAGGAGTGAGGTCAAGTGCAAATTCTCCCCAAACAATATAGGAATAATTATTTTTATAATGCCTTGAGATACTATAAAATCCTAAGTAAACATAGATTCTGTGGTTCTCAGTACAGAGTACTCATTGGGCAGAAAAGCACAGCAGTATTTTATGTAGATTTTTGGTAAGGAGAGCTGAAACAAACAAAGGCCCAGGTGTGGTGCAGGCCTATAACCACAACACACTGGGAGGCTGAGGCAGGGGGATTCTAAGTGTAGATGTAGCTCAGTGCGATGGCCTGGAGTTCAATCCCAGTATGGAGTGGGGGCTGGGGAGGAAGGAAGGCAACTGAAGGAAATACTTAGACCCTAGATGGCTAGCCTTGTAGAGATTTTAGTAATAAAACAGCCCTCTGCAGCCCGCGAGCCATAAGTTTGCCACTACTGCCCTAGACTGAGATTTCCCCTGACTGAAGCACTGTTGAAAGATTTGTTCAAGCTGAATAATGAGTGCACTTTTGGTGCGGATTCTGGAAGCACTCGAGCTAGCCATTAAGACCCTCTGCTGCTCTCCTTGACCTCGTCTCCACTGAGACCACGCTGGGCTCTGGGGCAGGGCTGCTGCAAATGCTCCTGTCGGGGCTGTGGGGGGACAGTGACAGGGGACCTGGTGCTCAGGCTTGGAATCTTCCCATCTCAGCAACTAAGCGGCCATGGGTTGATTTTTAGAACCTACTTGTAATTTGCAAAAAGTACACACTGGTTGCTAGGATTTCACGGGGTTGGGTGAGGTCGCGGGGTAGTCCGGGTGCTGGGCGCTGGGCGCTGTCCTTGGGCTGGTTCCTCTGTCAGCATTCAGGTCTCCTGCACCCCACAGGGGCCCCTGCTGGGCCCTCCTCCTGGACCTCTTCCTGCCCACTGTCTTGCCTCGGCGGGAGTGACTTCTGACACTTTTCTTCCTAATTAGATTCAGCCAGTCTCCCGCAAGAAGCTCCAGCTGGTTGGGATCACCGCTCTGCTCCTAGCTTCCAAGTATGAGGAGATGTTTTCTCCAAACGTCGAAGACTTTGTTTACATCACAGACAATGCTTACACCAGCGCCCAAATCCGAGAAATGGAAACTTTCATCTTGAAAGAACTGAAATTCGAGTTGGGCCGTCCCCTGCCCCTGCATTTCTTAAGGCGGGCATCGAAAGCTGGGGAGGTGAGTGCCTGCACTGCTGCTGCATTTTTGTTTGCTGTCTTATCTGGAAACATCAGTTTAATGAAGGGGGAGCTTCTGAATCTCTAGCAAGCTTCCTTTAGATACATCTTGACGCTCCTCTCAGCAGTGCTTAAGAGCATAGGCTTCAGCTTCTTTGTTTATAACATGCTGAGGACTAGAGCAGTTCTTGAGAAGGATGGAGTGGGCCGGGTTTAAGACCCTAAGCCAGTGGTGGCGAGTTTATGGCATGCGTGCCACCATGGGATGTTTGTATCCTTGAAAACTCCAAGAGGTTTGCCATCACCTTACCTTGACCATTGTCAGATGCTAATAACTGCTTCTCCCGGTGCTGGCTGTTCCTTCGCAGGTGGATGTGGAGCAGCACACATTAGCTAAGTACTTGATGGAGCTGACTCTCATTGACTACGACATGGTGCACTATCATCCTTCTAAGGTAGCGGCGGCTGCTTCCTGCTTGTCTCAGAAGGTCCTGGGCCAAGGGAAATGGGTGAGTGCTCGATTGAAGATGTTAAGCTCCCCAGCATTTTAGGCCCTTTCAACGTGAGACTAGCATTGTCACACCGTCTGAAGGAAAGCTCCTCAGGACAGAGACTGCCAACGGTACTGCTGTTCACAAATGCAGAGCTGTAAATCGTGAGGAGGGCTCCCAGGACTTCTTGCATGTTTAGTTTCATGGAACAAGCAAGTTGTCAAGCACACAAAGCAAGGCCTGGTGGCTTAGCCAGTGACGACAGAACGAGCACTTCCGGGTTCCCATATGTAGCCCAGGATGCCAACTCCCTGGTCAGTCTCACACTAAAACTGGTGACAGGGGAGCGGAGGGAACCACCCATGGCACTGCAAGTGGAAGGATGCTCTGCTGTGGCCAAGCCGGGCCCAGACGGCTGCTGTGCAGCTTCATAAATGAGCAGAGAGCCCATCTTCGCTCAGGAGGTGACAGCAACTCTCTCATTCTGGTTCCCCTTGGGGTGTGGAGAGGGCAGTGGCAGATGTGTGCAGAAAGTGCCTCCCAAGCCTGCGTGCTCCTGCTCGAGTCGCAGGGCCTTTGTTAGGCAGCACAGCCATAAGACGAGGTCACAAGGCTGCATGAGGAGCTGTTCCCCTGCACCGTAGTCAAGACTGTGTATGCAAATGCATTTATATGTTTGCCAACTTTTCAAAAGATACAGGAGGAATAAACCAGAAAGTCATGTAAAGGATACTGTGTGGTTCAGTGGGAATAGGATAGAATGCTGTGACTGAGAGGACTTTTTTGGGGGGTTGGGTGGTACCGGGGATCAAACTCTGGACCTTGAGCTTGTGAGGCAGGCAACAGAACCACTGAGCTAAATCCCCGGCCCTAGAGGACTTTTGGTTTTATTTTTGGTACCGGGGATCGAACTTGGGTCCTTGCGCTTGTGCAGCAGGCGGCAAAACCACTGAGCTAAATCCCCGGCCCAAAGTACATTGTATTTTAACATTTGTTTTTTTGGTTATTTTTGGTACCGGGGATTGAACTAGGGACCTTGTTCTTGCAAGGCAGGCACTGGAACCACTGAGCTAAATCCCTGGCCCATCCTAGAGGACTTTTGATTGTAACTTTTTATTAACTTTTATATAATGCAGCATAACTTTTTGACTTTGTTAGGAATCAAACCCCTGACCCACAGCCCCGGCCCTTTTGATTTTGAGACTGGATTTCCCTGAGTTGACCATGCTGAGTTGGAAATTACAGTCCTCCTGAGTCTTCCTCCTGTCTTATCTTCCTGAATAGATAGGATTTTAGTAAGCACCCTTTTGACTTTTTAACAACATAAATATTTTATGCAAACTCCAACATGGAATTAAGCCAAACAAACAATGTAACTATCAAACTGGTTACAGAAGACAGAGGAAAGAGGTAACTGAAAGCTGTGCACGTCTCCTTCTCGGGATGTAAAGTTAGACAAAGCAAAAGACCTAAAGCAGTAACAATTTACTTAATAGTTTATTGTTAATAGATTTGCTATGATTCTGAAACTCCTTTATACATACCATAGGGTAAAGCAAGTGCATCCATGTTATTAGGCCCTAACATTTTTGCTGTAATTTTCCCTTACCAGAAGAGTAGCTGGCATAATGCTTTTTCCCATTCTGTAGGATGTCTCTTCATTCTGTTGATTGTTTCCTTTGCGCCACAAGAGCTTTTTAATTTGGTATAATCCCATTTGTTGATTCTTGATATTATTTCCAGTACTATTGGAGTTCTGTTCAGGAGTCTAACTGTGTCTGTGGATTCAGGTGTTTCTTCTGTGTTATTTTCCTGGAGTTTCAGCATGTCTGTTTTTGTATTTAGGTCGTTGATCCATTTTGGTTTGATTTTAGTACAGGGTGTGAGATACGGATCTAGTTTCAATCTTCTGCACGTGGATAATCAGTTTTCCTGGCGCCATTTGTGAAAGAGGTTCTTTCTCCAGTGTATATTTTTGGCCCCCTTATCAAAATTCAGGTGGATGTAGGTGCATGGGTTGTTTCTGTGTCTACTGTTCCATTTTAGTGTTCTCCCTATCTATTTTTTATATCAGTATGCAGTAGTTTTTGTTATCATAGCTTTGTAGTATAACTTGAGATCTGGAATGTGATGTCTCTTCCTTTGCTTGTTTTGCTCAGAATTGCTTGGACTATTTTGGGTCTCTTCTGGTTTCATAAAAACTTTAGAATTTTTTTTTAGTGCTGTGAATAATTCTTTTTTATAGGGATTGTATTTAATCTATAGATCACTTTTGATGATATGGCCTTTTTGATAGTATTAATTCTCTCTACACAGGAACAGGGGATGTCTTTCCATTTTCTTGTATCCTCTTCAACTTTTTCAGAGTTGTGTGGTTTTTATTATAGAGGTCTTTCCTCCTTGGTTAGGTTGATTCCTATTTAATTATTTTTATAAAATAAATTTTGTGAATGGGATTGTTTTCCTGATTCATTCTTGGGTTCATTCGTGATGTTCATGGATGCTGTAGATTTTTGTTTGTTGGTTTTGTAGCCTGTTATTTTGCTGAATTTGTTTATCAGCTCTAAGAGTCTTCTGGTGGGGTTGTAGAGGTCTTATATATTAAAGATCATATCATCTACAAATGGAGATAATGGTTTTTCCTTTCCTAGTTGTCTACCTTTTATTTCTTTTTCTTGCCTGATTGCTTTGGCTAAAGTTTTGAGTACTATATTGAACCGGAGTGGTGTGAAACACCTTGTCTCATTCCTGATTTTAGAGGCATTGTATTCAGTTTTTCCTATTCAGTGTGATGTCGGTTTGTTATATGTGGCTTTTATTAGTTTGAGGTAAGGTCTTCTTATTTTCATCATGGTTTTTATTATGGAGGAATATTAGATTTTCTCAGATGGTCTTTCTTTATCTGTGGAGATGATTGTGTGATTTTTTTTTTTATCCTTCTGTTTATGTGATGTATTGCATAAGTTGATTAGTGTATCTTGAACCATCCTTGCATCCCTGAGATAAAACCTACTTGGTCATGGTGTGTAATCTTTTTTTTTTTTTTTGGACTAGGAATGGAGCACAGGACCTTGTGCTTGTGTAATCTTTTTAATGATTCATTGAGTTGATTTTTTTTTTTTTTTTGGTATTAGGAATTGAACTCAGAACCTTGTGCTTGTGAGACAGGTGGTGGCACCACTGAGCTGAATCCCCGGCCCTGATTCATTGAGTTCTCTTAATTTTTCACAATTGTTGAATTCTGTTTGTAAGTATCTTACTGAGACCAGGCGTGGTAACATACACCAATCATCCCAGCACTCTGGAAGGCTCAGGGAGAAGGATCACAAGTTTGAGCCCAGCCCGAGCAATTGAGTGACGTAGCAAAACTTGGCCTTAAAAGGAGGGGCAATTGGGAATGTGACTTGGTGCGAAAGCACTGGGTTCGATTTCCAGTGACACACACACACAGTATCTTGAGGATTTCTGCATATGTTCGTGAAGGATATTGGCTTATAGTTTTCCTTTTTTGCTGAGACTTTATCAAGTTTTGGTTTCAGAGTAAAACTGGCTTTATGGAATGAGTTTGGAAGCGTTCCTTCCCTTTCAGTTACATGGAAAACTTTGAGGAGTATTGGTGTTCTTTCAACTTCTAGTAAAGCTCAGTGGTGAATGCACTGGATCCTGGCCTTTTCTTAGTTTGTACAGGTTTGGTTTGTGCATCAGTTTCATTGCTTGTTAGTGATCTGGTCAGGGTTTTTATATCTTCTTGGTTTAATTTTGTTAAGTCACATGTGTCTAGGAATTTGTCTATTTCATCCAGATTCTCAAGTTTATTGAAATATAATCTTTAAAATAGTTTCTACCAAGCCTCTGGATTTCAGGGATTTTTTTATAATTTTACCTTTTTCATTTCTGATTTTTGTGATGTGGATATTCGTTTTTTTGGTAAGTTTGGCTAAGGGTTTATCCACCTCATCCTTTCAAAGAACAAGTCCTTTGATTCATTGATCCTTTGTATTGTTTTTTTTAGTCTTGATTTCATTAATTTTGACCCTGATCTTTATAATTGCTTTCCTTCTTCTGGTTTTGGGTTAAGATTGTTGTTGTTTTTCCAGGACCTTGAGATGATTCATTAGGTTATTTACTCTGTTTTTCTAATGTAATCACTCATAGAACTGCTTTTATTGTATTTCATAGATTGATTATTTATTTATTTACTGATTTTTGAGACAGTGTCTTGCTATATGGTCCAGCTGGCCTCAAACTTAATGAGCCTCCTGCCTCAGCCTCAGTGCTGGGATTACAGGTGTACACCACCATTCCTCGCCTATTTCATAGATTTTCATGTGTTGTAATTACCTTTGATTGTAGGAATTTTTAAATTTCATTTGATTGTAGGGATTTTTAAATTTCTTCCCTGATTTCTCCTGTTACCCCTTGATTGTTCAAGAGTGCTTTATTCAAGGTCCATCCATTTAGCTATAATAAATGTCTGAAGCCCATCTTTCTTTATGGCAGGGTACTACTTCATTGTATTTTTTAAAAAACACATCATTTTTATCTGCTCATCAGTTGATGAGCATTTGGGGTGTTTCCAAGATTTAGCTATTACAAACTGTTTTGCTGTGAACATGGGTGTGCATGTATCGCTGTGGTATGATGCTTTTAATTCTTTTGGGAAAATACCCAGCAGGGGAAAGACTGGGTCAAATGGAAGCTCTAGTCCTAGTTCTTTGAGGTATCTCCATACTGATTTCTACAGTGGTTGCAACAGTCTACACTCCCACCAGCAGTGGAAAAGGGTTCCTTTTCCCCACAGCCCCGCCAGCATTTGTTATTGGTTGATTTCTTCATAGCCATTCTTTTTGGAATGAGATGGAAGTTAAATATCCTACATCTACTCTGTCCTCGAGGTTTTTTTTAATTTTAATTTTTATTAGTAATGTTTGCAGGACATAATGATTACATCCATCTTGGGAAGTTGGTGCATGTACGTAACACATCTAGATTCTTTTTACATCTCCTTCCTCTCCCCT